AGGATCATGACCTGAGCCGAAGGCAGTCGCTTAACCAACTGAGCCACCCAGGCGCCCTCAGTGTGTCTTTAATATGGGGTAAAAGGACAGAGTATTAAGGAAGTAAATAACAGGGAGGCCTGGCTGGCTCAGTCAGTAGAGAATGCAACTCTTCATCTTGGGGCTGTGAGTTTGAGCCCCATGTTGGGTGTAGAGATTAATTTTAAGTAAAAATAAAATCTTTTTTAAAAAAGTAAATAATAACCAAAATAAAAATGATAACACTCATTAAATGTTAACTGCAAAATAGGTACTATGATAAGCATTTTTGATGCAAGACTTTAATCCTCACAACACTCTATAAGGTATTATTATTATTATTATCATTTCTGTTTTCTGTTTTAGATGAGGAAACTGGGCCTGGGAGAGCTTAGGTCGTTTTTCCCAAGGTCACAGAATCAGAAAGTAGTAGGGCAGGACCCAGACTCAGGTCCAGAGCCTTACACAGAGTATGCGAACAAGAATGCTGGGTTTCTGTGGAAAGAGAAATCATAGTTAGGGATGAGGATTGTGCTTCGGGGGTGAGGTGCATCTGAAGTACCTTGCAGGATCTTGGCCTTGAAAGACGAAAGGAGCTGATCTGGCAACAAGCCAAGCGAGGGCATTCCAGGCAGGAAGACAGAAGAAACACCACACATCTGAGAGAAAGTTTCGTTCTCCAGATGAAGAAACTGGTGTGTTTGTCTGCTTTGCCACTCAGAGGCAGATGGAAGCAATATGGCAGAGGGTCTTGAATGTTAGGGGAATGTGGTAATGTCTTCCTGGGTCTAGGCAGCGATCTGGGAAAGCTAACAAGGCACTGATGAGGCCAAGGTTATGTGTGAATCGCCAGCATACACAAAGGAACCCAAGTGCAAGGTGTTTACACTTTACTACAAAATAATCCATTCCCAGGGCCCAGAGAGCAATGGAAGCAATTTGGTAGTGGAAAATTGGTACGTGAAGAGAACCAAAGAAAGTATTTATGACACCAAAGGCCATAAAGTGGTTGAGACCAATGATCATTACGGAATTAATGGAATTAAATCTTGTCTCATGTGGCTACTTACTCTTTCAATTCTTGAGTGCCTACTATGTGGCCAGCATGATTCCAAGGACATGGGACCTATCCATGAATAAAATACAGTGACCAAACTCCCTGCTGTCAAGGAGCTCACCTGCTATGCTTAGTGTTGATTCCCGATCAGGAAGATTCTTAACTCTCAAAACCTAAGATTATACTTTCATACTGTACGCTTGAGATCCCACGACCCCAAAGAGAAATGCAAATCTCTCTGGGGTGCAGCTGGGCAGTGATGCAGAAGGACAGACAGCACTTCTGATTTAAGAGTGAGGATGATCTTACCCCAGCGTGGCTAGAAGGAAACTTAAGATGGGCAGGTCGTCAGGCCTTGCCTCTGAGTTGGCTCATAAAAGCAAGAGCAAAACCAAGGTGAAGGATTGGCAGTGTGATCCTTGAAGATGATTCAAGTTAGCCTGGGGTACCCTCTCTGTTTTCCACTCCCAAACTGGGATTAACTTTGGAATCTTCCATAAATGGAGAGAAACTGGGGGCTTTCCAATCCTAGCCTGGGTAAATACTATTTCCACACAAATCAGCACAAGATGGTCTTACATTGTAAAAGCAGGAGGGGAAGACAGGAGGTAAATACACCTGCAGATCTATGTTTAGGCAGGAGATATTCTATAATATAGCCTTGTTCTTCAAATGCAGAATTAGAGGTATGGACTTTTCCTCAGAATGCTAAAATATACAGATGAAGACAACCTACTAAAAGATAAGCTGATGGTCACTGTTTCTACAAAAAGACACCTAAAGGTAAGTGCATCAGGCAAGAGTCAAGAGTGGGCAGATTTATGAATATTACCCCCCAACCAAGGATTTTTAACCATTTCGAATTTTAAGATCCCACAAGCGTCAGGTGTCTGAGAATAAATATTTAAAATGTCTTTTTGACTTATCGAAGGATTCACCAACTTTTTTTTCAGCAGTACTTTTAGAAAGTCTGATTTAGCTCCCAGGGAGCTTCTCATGCTTTTCTGTCACATTTAGAATGATATTTAGCCCTTCGCTGTAAATTTGGCTTATATTGTCTATGCGTGTAAGGGACATAGGCATCTCCTACAGTTAGTAACTTTCTACATGGATAAAAGAATTTGCTCTCACTATGCCCCTGGCCCTGGGGCAGAATTTTCCCGCTTTAGTTAAGGGAAAATAAATGCCACAGATACAGAGCTCCTATTTCTAACTTCAGGTTGCACAGAACCGCCCCTGGATCTCCAACTTCCATTCACGTTTCTGGTCACCCTTGAGTGAGAGGCTGGCTCTGCTACTGAGAACAGCCAAGTGAGAGACAGCCCAACTACCTGCAGAATGCAAGCTTCCTAAAAAGTCACCTTTATGGGTCTGAGGTAATTGCTGGAGTCATGCTACAAAACACAAAACACGCACCTCAGACCCGGAGCCGATAGCTGGAGAGGTGAGTGTGTGGGAGTGTACAAGCAAGAGTCCCACAAGAACTTTGATGGAGACAAGAATGTGCACCAGACAGACGATGGTGGTTCCCGAGATGGCCCATTTTATTTAGCTGCATGGAGCTTGCTGTTACCAGGACTCCCGATCTCAGAATTCAGTTTAGGGTGCAAGCCGAGGATGACAAAGGGGGCTCCTTCCTTTAGCTCCTCTCATTGTTGGCAGTTGAGGAAGCTAGAAATTGTCTCCCCCAGTGGTGGGTCTAAAACTAACATTGTCACCAGCCTCCTCCCCTCCAAGTATTCTTCCTTGGCCACTTTACCCCCCTCACCACCCCCCCACCTTTAATCAGGAAGATAATTTGCCCAGTGAAATGCTCAGTGTGGATAAACAACTGTAACAAGGTACTTAGCTGAGCCAGGAAGAGCGTTTTATGAATAGAAAAGGAAATGCTATGTGTACTGACATGAAAAAATTAACACTGCAACTTCATTTTGTATTAACCTTTGGCTAAACCACCTCCATAAACCTATCCTGGGCAGGCATCTGTGGTCATTGGCATGTGATCACCCCAGTGGTAGGTGTTAAACAACCAAATAGCATAAAGCTGGCTCTCCTGCAAAAAGTAAAGTATAAATGTGACTTTTATGGGGCAGAGAATTTGCTCAGGAAAAAGCTACCTCAGATCTGGAGATTTTTAGATTGGCTACTTTATGACTGGGTCTTTAGAAACCAATGTATTACATGTTTACTTTTTCATAGCTAGAGTTCAGTAACTGTGAATGCATTTGGGAATATTTCATTTTCTTTGGAGTATGTCCAATCTGTAAAAACAACACTAGGTTCCTACTCTGAAGTTGGGGGGAGAGAGAACACAGGTCTAGTAAGAATAATTGAATAACTTTTCTTAGGTAGTTATCTACAAAAATAAAGTCTTGACCATACAGCACAACATCAGTCCAAAACCCATTCGGGACCGTTTAAAATTAAAAATACAAGAAATTCACATATCAAACACAATATCTTTTGTGCCCTATTTCTGTTAATTCCATCTCTTTCAAGTAAACCCCCCACAATCAGTAATAGGGTGAAACAAATTTATTTCCTGGCAGTGTTTCCTTAGCCTCTTTCATACTTTGTGATCTAAGAAAAACAAAACAAACATTCGTTCACAAATCCACTTTGATTTTTGGGCACAGAAAACCAACTCTGTCCCCCTTCTCCAGCACCGTGAAAGCAGACTCTACAAATCACCGAGACACACCAAGATCTTTCATTTTTACGATGAATTCTGATTAAAGCCAGCGCTTACCGTTTTCAAAGGGCTCCTGAAAAATGACCACAGAGAATTTTTTTTTCCCTTTTAAAGTCTTCACCCAACACGTTTGCTTGAAAAACGTTCTGAATAGGGACATGGCCTGGTAAAACACATGCAGTCGACAAAATATCGAATTTCTTTTTCCAGCTGTCTGGAATCCCATTAGTGCCTCTCACTTCTGTCTTTGGCTATAATTAGGATGGCTTAGGGTTTATCTGGGCCTTTTTTCAAAACCAGATCTCCTTCCCAGCAGCAGCGGCTACTCCTAGCTTCTGATTTACACTGTGGTAAGGTGATCGTGAATATAAAGGGAAGACACACACACACACACACACACACACACACACCTTCCATCTAGTAATTTTTAAAAAAGAGGAGCCTTACCTGAGGATGAGCCCTGCAGTCTGGAGCTCTGCTCGTTTCAAATAGGTTCTGGACCGGCACCCCTTCTCCCGAGAAGCCTGAGTTCCCTCCTCGGGGGAGTGAGCCCGGGGCAGTTTGCAGGGGTTTTGCTTCTTGCTTGGTTTTGGCTGCAGCAGCACATTCTCCTTCAGGGAACTGGGAATTCCACTCGGCAGCTTGCACTCCGGCATGAGAACTGTCTCTTTTATCACTCTGGGTTAGTGGGTGCTTAACAGGTTCTTTGGGATAGAGGAGATTAAGGGTGCCTTCTGTTGCACTTTCTTTCCGGTTGGAGCTCAGCTTTTTGGGTTTTCCTCTCATGCCGGGCCGCCTCACCCTGGCAGGTTTCTCTGAGCCCCTCTTGGTCAATGAACCCTCATCCCTTACTTTTTCCTCGGCTGCGATCTCCAACCACTGGTTCGCCCCTGACTTTTCTAACTCACCAGACAAGCGCTTCATCGCTGTCTCTATCACTGCTTTATCCATGTTTAGCAGATTGTCACTGGTGAATTCCTCTCCTCCCTGGTGGCTGTCTCTGGTTTCTCTTCGAATTCCTGGATAACCATTTTCAGCGGCCTCAGAAGCAGTGGGTGGTTTATATCTCCCCTGGTCTGTCACGGTAGACGTTGTGTCCCGGTGAGGTCCCAAAGTCAGAATCATCCCCGTTTGCAGGGATGAGGGACTGTGGGTGGAGGCTTGGCTGCTCCTCACCCCCACTGCTTGGGGTTGTGAGTGATAACCACAGAAGCCAGTGGTGACAACCATAGGCCTGGTGTCATCCGACACCCAAGGCCCACAACCCATTTCACTGAGGAGATGCTCACACCCACCCAGGCAACACGCACTGAATTCCATCTCTTCGTCATCGCTTTCTAATAAAAAAACATGCTCAGTCCCCTGCAGGTTCCTTTGCCAAACTGCATTAGAGTAATCTGTCATAACGTCGGAACATTCCAGATACTCTAGGTCATCATCTGAAAACTCCTCGGTGCAGGTTAGGGTTATCTCTGGGCAAAGTTCATAGCCACTGTCAGAGTCTTCGCTGGACACCTGTGGGCTGACTTGCTGCTTGATCGAGGCCCTGTCCCCTGGGCAGACAGATGCGGTCGCCTCCGACAGGGGCCGGCTGAAGCTGATGTATTTCTGCACTTTGGGCTCCGCTTGCCCAGAGTCTGAGACTTCCTCATGAGGGCCGTCACTGTTTAAGGCACCATCCGTTAGCCTCGATACTTTGGAATGCACGGTCCTGTGGCAAGAGATGTTTTGTTTAGCGGGAATATAACTTGAATTAGAGAAAAGCAACCCATCTGCAACCTCCTCTGCATCATCCGGATCATGAGCCTCTTCCGTTGGCCTCGTTCCTTTAACATCCAAGGGATTTTCAGGACTGGAGGCCCTAGTGCCCCTATTGACCAAAAACTGGGGTGAGCATAGACAGCTGAGTTTGGAGGAGAGGGCATCAGCTGACATGGGAGTACCTGCGGAGATACTTTCTTCCCCCTTGCAAGGATGTTCTTTCTCATCGAGCTGATTTGTTTTCTCCTGTGCACATGCCTCTGTTGCATGTTTCCAGCCCGTGCCCCCGCCATCTTTCGGGCTGGGAGAGAGCTCTGGGTTCTCTGCTGAGCACAGGACTTCAACAGACGCAGAGCAGCAAATCATTCCGGAACAGTTTTTAGCGGAGATTTGGTAAACAGCAGCGTCATCTGGGGTACAGCTAGGAGGAAGAGAATACACAGGTAAGTTTGCCGGGTTTGGACGGACATGCCAACCTTTCTCATGTCATGGCACACAGAAAACCACCAGGGTTTTTGCTGCACCTGCAAAGAGATCTGTGGTCTCCCTGCAAAGGGGCTCGTGGTCAGAGGCAACCAGCTCCTGAGTTCCAGTTGCCCTCGAGCTGAGAACCCAGGAAGCTCAGCATTTTCCCTTAGAACTTTCCACAATATTATCCCAACTTGAAAACTGCTGAGAATTATTCAGATGAATGGGGAAGCTTCCAGTATTCTAGTTCCTTCTTCTCTCCTTTTAAGTCTTTTTTTATGCTATGGGAATTTGAAAAAAAAAACATCATTTTCTGGAGTGAGACATGGTACACAAACAACTGAAGAATTCAACCCCCTGCAGTGGAACAGCATAAGCAATAACTCTTTTTAAGCCTGTGCTGAAAAGGCAAGGTTCTTGCCAGGAGGCTGTAAAGGTACCACACTGGGATTATGTGTATGAAGAATGGTGCCATTTCTCTTCATTTTACATGACTATGAAGTCTAAACCCCACCCCATGAGCCCCTCTGGCTGGAAACCCATGTTCACATGCCATCCTGACTTATACAGGCCAAGCCAGGTGTTTGTCTTGGGCCCAGCAGGGAAGAAACTGAATCCTGGATCATGCTGAGCCTGCTCTCCCTGCTCTCCCTGCTCCAGGAGAGATGGTATTCCTGTGGCCCCTCCCTTTATTGACTCAAGCCTAACAGGCTTTGCTGACCTTTCCCACTAGGGCCTCCAGGCTCTGCAGTCCCAATAAAAACTTGTAACACTTGCTTTATAATTTGCACTGCCTTATTCATTTGACCTCAGTGTAGCTATAACATTGCTGGTCTCACTAGATGCATTATCCAGCTCAGAAGTCAATCAGCATTTTCAGAAGGCAGGAGCTGTGGTCTGGCCAGAATTAGAGGTGATGTTTAGATATTTATTGACTGATTTACATAAAATGTGCACCAATATCTAACCTAGAAGGGTCATTGTTAGACACTCAATGGCACACAGTCTTTCTTACTCGCTTTCTTCTCGCCGAAGGCATCCCTCTGTCTCCCCAGGCTCATATGTGCTCATAAGCCCTCAATAGTTGGGTGCTTGGGGCACCTGGGTGGCTCAGTTGGTTAAGCGTCTGCCTTCGGCTCAGGTCATGATCTCAAGGTCCTGGGATCGAGCCCCACATTGGGCTCTCTGCTTAGCAGGGAGCCTGCTTCCCCCTCTCTCTCTGCCTCTCTGCCTACTTGTGATCTCTCTGCCTCTGTCAAATAAATAAATAAAATCTAAAAAAAAAAATAATAGTTGGGTGCCTGCTCACACACACCTCATTTTCAAAAATCATAGACTAATTCCAATTTTGTTAATATCTTGGTTTTTAATAATCTGGTTCCCAAGTAGAAGCCAATCAGGGGTGGCTGAGGCTGGCCACAGCTGATATTCGGATTTGTCTTGGCCAACAACATGCAGAGACTGAAATTTAGGGTAACTTTCTAGAGGAAAAGTACCTGCCCCTCCTGTCTACTTCACAAGGTTATTCTGAGGTTCAAATGAGAAAATCAATGTGAAGGGGCTTGGCAAAGCAGAAACTTTATGCCACATATATTCTATAAGAATGTGGAAGGGCTAAAATGATATTTACATGGTCTGATAGAGACATTAGCTAACACTGCTATGGCAATCATAAATGCATCAAATCAATATGCTGTACACCTTAAAACATACACAATGTTGTATGTCAAATATAACTCAATTTTTAAAAAAAAATGTGAGAGTGCTGAGACCAGATTACCTTGGGTTCTCAAGAAGTGTGCAGAAGAAGCAGCAGGAAACTCTATTTAAAATTTTTGAATCAGAATCCATGGGTAAAAGGCCCAAGAATCTGCTTTTAAAGATCCTAAACAGGGGCGCCTGGGTGGCTCAGTTGATTGAGCATCCGACTCTTGATTTCGGGTAGGGTTGTGTTAGAGCCCCGTGTTAGGCTCCCTGCTCGGTGGGGAGTCTGCTTCTCCCTCTCCCTCTGCCCTCCCCCAAATAAATAAATAAATCTTTAAAAAAGAAAAAAAGAGATCCCAAACACATTCTGCTACAAATTGTCCTGGGCCCACCCTTGGAGACAGCCTCATCCTCATCCTCATTACTTACACGTAGGTCTCCTCAGTTGAGCTGAATTAAAGCTGAATGAAGAGAAAGGGGCCTTCGTTTGAGCTTCACATGGCCCACACCACTGCCCGCTTGCCTCTTTTCCATTAGTTCTTGGAGACCTGGCCTCAGATAGGAACTTACAAGGAGCATAGAATAGTACCGTGGGCTACTGGGAAATCCCAAGTAATTCTGATTTCCTGATTTATCCAGACATGATCCCTATGCCAGAGAAACCACCTGCCCCGCAAGTACCAAGACATGTGTGGAAAGAACAGAAAGGGAGAGAAGGAAATAAGGTGGAGAGGCCAAAGGACCAGGTAAGAAAGCATTCAAGGTGGGGAACAGGGAGTGTTCTCAAGAACCAAGGATGGAAAACCAAAGAAATTTTAGAAAAAATATGGAGAAAATAATTGGGTTAAATAAATTTCACTTCTGAATGACTAAATAAGCAAATGGGAGAATGTTATGATTTAGTAATGTATGATTTTATGGAGTATGTGTTTCAGCCAATAGAAGATTTAAATCATCGTATGTCTACTAAAGAGGAAAAAGCATAACTGACCTCTCAGAAGTTAATTAAGTAGAGTTCTTCTCACCGGCTAATGACCTCTTTTCAGAGACTTATGGTTTGTGGTTGACACGTCCTTGATCATTATCTCTAAGCATCTTAAAGAAGAGAGGGAGAACATTCGGCCAGGAGCGCTACATTTGTTGAATGTCCCCTCTAGTAAACAATGTGCGTGTTGCTCCCTGCATGCAAAATTGAGGCTCAAAGGGGTCGACTAATTTCCCCGAAGTGACAAAGTTGGTAAGTGGTGGAGATGGGCTAGGAAACCAGAGCCTTCTACTCTGAAGCTGGGCTCAGTACGTCGTGTTAGAAAACTCCCATTCAGAAAAAGGAAGTGACAGATGTAGAGCAATCATTTTTGCAAATATTTCTGTCCTAAGTGTTCATCTGCATCGGTCAACTGACACACTCTTGAAGACTTTGTTCTGGTGCCCGGTATTATGTTGAGTGCCGAGCAAGAGTCAAGGAGATGCATGCCACGTCATGTCCAGCCCTAAAATGACTGAAAGTCTACTGGGGGAAATAGTCTGAATTTCTGTGAGAACCTTGTAGGTCAGTTCTGTGCTAAGTTGTCAGGTGGAAACTGGAAGAGCAAGGGAAGCTCAAAGAGGGGACTCCAGTAGGAGCAGCTAAAATGGTGTGAATAGTGCTGGGCTTTAGAATCTGCAAGATGCTGGCAGAGTGACCTGTGTGCCCCACAGTGATTTGACAGGAATGCAAAAGCTTCCCGGAAGAAATTCCCTGAACAATTAATTGTGTTCCCTCCTGCATATCTTTCCTTTTGGAGGAAGGAAGCAACAGCATTCCTCCCCCTTGCTGTGAAAGTCTTGCTAGAATACTCTACGTTCTTTCTAAATTAATCATTTCCATATTAAAGAAAAAGAGGCACATGTGACCTTAAGTGGATGGGGCTTCTTCTGGGCTTGAACCCCCTGGGTTGGTCTAAACCAGAGGTTCTTAAATATTTGGGCAGCAGGACCCCTTTATACATTCTGAAAAACAATTGAGGACTCCCAAGAATGTTTGTTTATGAGGGTTATATCTATCAATATTTACCATATTAAAATTAAAACTGAGAAAAATTGAAAACATTTATTCACTTAAAAATAACAAAAATAAGCTCATTACATGTGAGCATGGAGAGCATTTATTTATATGCTACCTATATTTTTCCTAAACAAAGTAAAATTTCATAAGAATGGCATTGCTTTACATTTTTCACACATCTAATATCTGGCCTAATAAAAGACAGTTGTTGTTGTTTTTTATCTGCTTCTGCATTGTGACGCAATACTTTGGTCTGGTTGAAGTATAGGGAGAAAATCTGGCCTCGTGCAGATATGCAGTTGGAAAAGGAAGAGTATTTTAATAGTCTTTTCATATGATTGCAGATAATCTTCATTACTATACAAAGAGTGGTTGCAATGTGGAATCTGAAACCCTATCATCTAGTTACATAAAATCCATTCATCTAGACTGCATTTTACATGCATTTTTACCCGTATGTGATTTTGTAACATCATGTATTGTTCATCTGGAGGAACTTGGTTCATGAGATCTTCTAAACATTACCACATTTCATTATATAATATTTTTAAAAATCACATTAATTAATATTCCTACTGATCTTTCCAGAATAATTTGGAAGTACTGGCAAACTGTCAAGCTTCTGATGAAGGATACAAGTTTTTGAAATTTCTAGTTAGGGAAATAATACCAATATTAATTGATCATAACTGTGTAAGTCAATTCTGTGCTAAGTTGCTTGGTAGCAATGGAAAGATGGAGGACATCAGTAAAATGGCAGAGTAAAGACTTCTGAAAATTTTCTCCTCCATAAAAGCAACAAGAATGCTGGCAAAATGTGTCCGAATCAACTTTTTCAGAATTCTGAAAAATAACCAAGGACAATCTGAGGGGGATTTATTCAAGAAAAATGACTGAATCTCAGGAAGAATAGCAAATTTTCTGGTGTTGTAACTTCCCCTGTCCTATCCCTCACCCCCACCTCCATGGAGTCCTGTAAACCAAGTGTTCACAATCATGGTGAAAATCAGCAGTCTGGCAGCCACAGAAGGGGCAGAACACGGTTGAAGCAACTCCAAAGCCCCCATTCCCAGGGAATTGTCATCTGATCTGTCTGCTGGCTCCCTGATCACACGTACAAGACTGTGTTTATGTGTCCTGATTCAGAGTTCAACTAGACTGAAGAACATTTTCCCTGAGACATTTGTCAGGAAAAAATTCAGAGGCAACTGTTTAACATGATGGCTGCCTGAGGCGGTGGATAACTGGCGAGACAAACAACAGGCTAACCAGAAAGATTAAAAGGGAAAGCTAGGGAATGAGATGTCCATAGGGGGCATTGAAAAGCTCCAACATGTTTCTGGGAATCGAGAAGGCCATGCACATGTGTATGGCTGTGAGCATGTCCACGGCTGTATGCATGCTCAGGAAAGACCTGAGAAGACATTAAGCTCTCAATTCTAACTGACCTGAAGGCTTCGTGCTAGCAGGAAGTGAAGGCTAAGACAGAGTTCTCCACTGCTTGGCTGAGTATTGAAGGCATGCCCCAACATGTGCACAGAGCCTCTCAACAAAAACTGGGAGACTTACTTGTTCCAGGCATCTAAGAAAATCTCCATCTAGTCATTAGTCAACCACCAAGTTAAACTGAGCAGAGACTTCAGTGACCACAAACAATAAAGAATACTGACTGAAAGAATTAGTTCAGAAAAGTCACTAAACAAACAAATGACAACAAGATTACCAAAAACAAACAGTAACGATGAAACCTGGAAAGGGGCAGAATCTGAATTCCAGAGTTGCCACATTCTATTGTTTAAAATGTCCAGTCTTTGCAAAACAATTAGAGACATGCAAAGACAGAATAAAGCATGACCCATACATGGTCATGGGGAAGGGGAGAAGCAGTCAACAGAAACCATCTCTGGACTTGCTAGATAAAGATTTTAATTAGCTCTTTTAAGAACTAAAGGAAGCTATATCTAAAGAACTAAAGGAAAATGTGAGAACAATGTCTCAATAAAGACACAGAAATTGTAAATAAGAACGATATAGAAATCCTGAAGTTGAAAAGTATAAAAACTGACATGAAAAATTCACTAGAGGGCTCAAGAGCAGAGATGAGCAGAAAGAATAAAGAGTCCATGAACTTGAATATGATTGATTAAGACTACCCAGTCTTCAGAACAGAAAGAAAAAAGAATGGAAAAAAGTGGACAGCATCTCAGAGACAACATATGCACAAAGGGAGTCCCAGAAGGAGATGAAAGAGGCAGAAAGAATAGCTGAAGAAAGTGGAAGTTCTTAGTTCAGAGAAGGGACTGCAGTGATAGCTTGAAAGCTTGGATTTTGGGCGCCTGGGTGGCTCAGTCGTTAAGCGTCTGCCTTCGGCTCAGGTCATGATCCCAGGGTCCTGGGATCGAGCCCCACATTGGGCTCCCTGCCCAGCGGAGAGCCTGCTTCTCCCTCTCCCACTCCCACTGCTTGTGTTCCTGCTCTCGCTATCTCTCTGTTAAATAAATAAATAAAATCTTTAAAAAAAAAAAAAAAAAAGCTTGGATTTTTTTTTTTAATTGTGGTATAACTGACATATAACATTACATTAGTTTCAGGTGTACAAAATAATGATTCGATATTTGTATACCTTGTAAATGATCACTGCAATAAGTCTAGTTAACAACAATCACCACATACGGTTACAAATTTCTTTTTCTTGTCATGAGAACTTTTAAGATCTACTCTCTTAGCAACTTTCAAATACACAATACAACATCATTAACTATAGTCACCGTGCTGTACACAACATTTTCAGGATTTACTTATTTTATAGCTGGAAGTTTGTACCCTTTTAAAAAGTTTGGATTTTTATCACTAGCAACAAATACTATAAGTTTTCCTTGAAGTGGCAGGTCTACTTTGTTAATTTTCAGGACAATGTTTGCCAAATATCCGAGGCTGGATAATCATCATTTGTTCATTGTTCTTCCAAGTAAAAATTGTACTCCATGAAAAAGTGGCTAGTTCAGTTTGCAACTTAAACAATCATACAGGTGCTTTCCCTCAAGATGACTATCATCTTAAGGAAATCCAGCAGAGATGCTCTGGGCATATTTCCCATTTCCTTACAGGGCAGAAAAAGGGCTTTGTCAAGATTTAATGAAATTAACCATTTTTACTGATGCATCCGAAACATTATCAAGCAAAATGTTTTGGGTTTTGGTTTGTTTTTAACTGAGGCTGTATGGCAGTGAAGAATTCTATGACAACTAGTATAATTTGGGACCACTGCCTAGATTCATGCTAAACCACCAACAGTTTTACCATCTATTGCTTTTTATCATCACTCTGTATGTCAACACAGTGAAAAAGACAAATAATGTTTCAGTATTTTTGTGGTAATAGTTTTGATCTGGCAGATCCTCTGAAAGGTCATTAGGTACCCCCCCAGGGGTCCATGGACCACACTTTGAAAATCACTAATTAAAGCTATTCACTGAGGGAAGCTTTAAAATGCTCTCAGCATTCTCCCATGGGAAAACACCTGACAGAGGCGTGCTCTTGCACTCTGGAAGATGGGCAGCTGCATGGAGAGCTGACGTTTTGCTCGGTATAATCATTTAGGTGCTCCCTTAGGCAGACGACTTCATCTCTTTGGGCCTCAATTTCCTGACTTACAAAGAGGAAGAAGACCTATGTCTGGGTCCCACCCCCCTAGAGATTCTGATTTAATGCTCAGTACCTGGGTCTACACGATTTAATTTGGGGCAGGAGAAGGCTGGGTCCATCAATGCAGGAGTGGAAGGGGGGCGCTAACCTTAGAAGTTCCTCAGGATCTCGCCAATTTAGGATGGTTTTGTGCTTTGGGAACAGGATTATAAATGTGAGTGAGAACTAAGAGTACATAAGAACATGAAAATAGGGCAAATAAGAACATGAAAATAGAAGGTTTGGGAATAGAATGTAACAGGTGCAAAAAGAAGACAAGGAATCAATTTTTTTCTCTAGCTACCAGCACAACAGACTTATCAGACCTGATAGTCTTTGAAATCCCTACATTCCAATCCCCACCCTTACTGCCCCCTCAGGGGGTTGGGTTTTCACACACACTCCTATTCATTCACCACCCCACTGACACAAATAAAATAGAATGACTTAGACACCCATGTGGACTGAAAAGTGGATTTCCCCGGCTCAAGTTGCTTCTCTTCTCTCTTTTGTCTCTTGGAGGTCATTCCCCTGCTCCCCAGAAAACTCTCCCAACAAGATTAAAATTGCTGAAACAAACCCTGCAATCTGACCGGACACCCTGAGGGCAGAGTTTGTGGGAGAGGAAGCTCAAGCTATTGGCTGGAGGTAAGACATGAAATCCTCTCTGGGCTTCAGGTATTGTTCTATTTTACTATGTGCCACTTTCCAGTGGAGGAAAACAATCTCTGGGAACAAAATGTCTGCAGCCAGGAATGTGGGGGGTGGGGAGGCCTCCAAAGCACCCCCCCCCACACTCCCTCCCCCACTGTGGATTTTCTGAGCCTTGCCTGCCTGTGCAGCAGGGAGGAAGGAGAGCGCCTGGTTCAATAAATACACAAGGACACCCATGTCCTTGCCACCGTCCCAGCGCCAGGTGAAGCTCAAAATATTTTCTTACACTAAGTGTATCTTATTACTTGCCTAACTGCTACTATCAATTTGATTGATTGAATTATTCAGAATGACTAAAGGAATAAGAAAGGCTTGGGTTTTTTCACGCCCCAAAGCTATGTTTGTTGTAGAGATGGGAGAACTCTAACACTAGAAACACACACAACTTCTTGATCGTATTTTCTACAAGCAACTAGACACATTTCAAAAACTGATGAGGAGTTTCCATATACATTTACCAGTTTACTCATTTATCCAATGGATTTACTGAACCGCAAGTCTGAAGACTGAAAGACTACTTGGAGTTGTGCGGCTCCTGGGCCCACCTGCCTCCCTCCCCCTGCGCCCTTCCCTGTTCTGCTCTGTCTCCCGGAGCTGACCCTTGAGGCCCAGGCTCCCCAGCTCCGGGACCACTGGCTTCCTGCTGCATTGGACCACAGAGAGGCAGGAGACTGGAGAGTGGGGAGAAGGGAAAAGTCACCCTCCGGTGGGATTTCTAAGAGGACATCCCTCTGTCATCATCAGTAGCTCCAGGTCCCACGGGACAGGCCCACCAGGGTTCCAGCTTTTGCCTTGTGACCCGGAACTAGTCGTCCTGCCACCTCCCTTCACTCTCAAAGCCTAGGGAATGGTAGCTTCCTGCTGATGCTCATCTCTGGGTGACCCATGTTTGGTTCAATCACTTGTACAACCCCATATTGAATGCCTGAAAATAGTTTTTGTCTTCCTGGTTAGACCCTGACGGATAGAGAGATGATGTAGTTCACTGACGTTGGAACTGAGGCCCTGAGAAGATGTGTCTTACGTACCAGTTAAAATATTTTAAGAAATGTCTACCACGTGTAAGGCACTGTGCTAGGCTCTGTATAGACAATGCAGGTGGTAAATTCCTAGGCCCTTCCTAGGAGCTTCTCAGCCAATAAGAGAAATGAGGTATTTATACCAATGGCTATAATACAGGATGGTACATGCTAAGGGCTATTAAAAATCCGACCAATTATGGAGGTTCGGGTCAGGGGGTGCAAGATAATGAGGGAAGGTTTCCTGGGTATTTAAAAGCTGAAGCAGGGGCGCCTGGGTGGCTCAGTCAGTGAAACGTCTGCCTTTGGCTCAGGTCATGATCCCAGGGTTCTGGAATCGAGTCCCATGTTGGGCTCCCTGCTCAGCGGGGAGTCTGCTTCTCTGCCCCTCCCATGGCTTGTGCTCTCTCTCCTGCTCACTCTCTCTCTTAAATAAATAAATAAGTAAAATCTTTAAAAAAAAAAAGAAAAAAACCTGAAGCAGGCCTAGAAAATACACAAGTAGGATTTTGGCAGGAAAGTTGGTATATGCCCAGGGTTGGGGAGGGAGCTGACCATTCCAGGCAGAAGAAACAGCCTCAAGGTGAGACTCTGGGGGAGCGGTGGGCTAAAAGGTAGGGCTACTGCATTATTTATTGTTTAAACAGAACAGGTTTGGGGCACGTGGGTGGCTCAGTCGTTAAGCGTCTGCCTCAGGTCATGGTCCCAGGGTCCTGGGATTGAGCCCCATATCGGGCTTCCTGCTCGGCGGGAAGCCTGCTTCTCCCTCTCCCACTCCCCCTGCTTGTGTTCCCTCTCTCGCTGTGTCTCTCTCTGTCAAATAAA